GCCTATCCTCCTCCTCCCCTCCCCTCCCCAGCTTGCCTGCGCACCAATGTCTTGTCGAATGGCGCCGCGCAGGGTTGCACCGAACCCTTTCGCGCACCGCCGGCCTAAAGCAAACACACGAAACAAACGCAAAAGAGAAATCACTCCACAAAGTCACATGCTTTTGCCCATAAATGATGCAACGCCGTTCCCGCCTCCTCGTGCGCAGGGAGGGGGAATTTTTCTGAAATTCAACGCGCTTTTTTTTTGTCGCCACGACGAGGTTACTCCGCATCGCGCTATGCTCGCTATGCTAAGCAGGCCGGGCGCAGACGTCGCTCGTCCCACCCGGCTCGGCTCGGCTTGACCCACTTCAGCACACTTCATGTTTTTTCCACTGCCACGTTCAGCCCGTGTTGGATTAAAAGTCGGCCAACGACGTGCAAATCTTCTTGCAACCACAACATGCTCCTTCCCCGCCTCCCCGCCCTCCTCACCTCACAGACTCCAACCCTCACCTCCACTCCTCCACTCCTCTTGTACCCCCATGAATGTGTCTCTCTTTCTCGCTCTCACCACTCTCTCACTCACTTTGTCTGTCTCTTTCGCTGCTCGGCGCACAGGAACGACCAAAACTAAATAGCCTGACTTGTTGTGCATGTGTAGACCGGCGAGGCCGCCGCGGCCCCGGCAGGGCTGTCACCCGGGCAGTCACCCGGGCCACCCGGGCCCCCACCAAGCCTCCACCCCGGCGTGAGCCCAGCCCCAGGCCCCCGCGGCCCCCGCGAGGGCGCCCGACACACTCCCGGTCCAGCCAAGCGCTGACTGTTGCGTTGCAGGAGAAGAGGCCGTCGTAATGGCGGCCACGGCCCCGGCCACAGCCGCCTCGGCCACGCAGCCGGCCACCACAACCACCGTCGTCATCCCCGCCACCCCGTCCTCGTCGGCGGCCTCCCCTGCACAGCGCACCACTACAGAGTTGCAGGTACAGCCGGGGCCGGCGGGCCAGGCGTCGGCCAGGGCCTCGATGGCCTCGGCCAGGGCGGGGCGGGACCTGACCGGGCGCCGCGACACAGCAGGGGGCGAAGCGCCTCGCGCAGCCAGCCGGCAGCCAGGGCCCCGCAGGGCGGGAGAGTGTGGCCGGAGCACGGCACGGCCTTCGCCCCCTCTGAGCCAGCCCCTTCACCTCCTTCCCCACCTTGCCTCCTATCTCTCTCTCTTGCCCAGGAGCATGCGTGCTCCCCCAGTCGCGCAGAGATGGCACAGAGTGAACACGGGGTGGGTGCTGTTTCAGGCGGAGTGTCTAGGCGGTCTGTTCGGCCCAGGCTCGCCGCTGGGCACCCCGCGCATCGACATCAGCAGGGCGTCCTCATCCAGCCAGCAGGACGACTCGAGCCCGGAGAGGGAGCTCACGGCCGGTGAGTTAGGACCTGGGACTGGGCGCCGACAGGCCCCGGGGAGAGAGAGAGCAAAGAGAGTATCTCTTCCTCCCTTTTCCTTGCTCTCTGTCTCCGTTTCTTTCTCTCTTTCTTTCTGTGTCTGCCTCGCCGGGCCTCCTCTCCTCTCTGCTGCGCTCTGTTCGTTTTTGTTGTCGAAGCGCCAGGGGTTTGCTGTCGGTAGGCAAACCCGCGAGACTCGCACGTCGTGCGGTCGCCTGCGGGCACGGCGCTCCACACAGCAACCCCCGGTGCAACTCTCTCTTCTTTTGTTTTTCTTGCTTTCTCTACTCTTCTTTGTCGTCTCTCCATTCTCTTCTGCGCTCTATGTTGTTTATCACTCCGCACTGCTTCACACTATCGCCATTCTTCGCACTCGACGCACACAACTCTCTTCTGAAACCTCTCCTTCTCTTCCTCTTCGCCTGTCCTCTTTGTATATATTTATTAGTGCAAAATACTATTTAAGAACAACAAGTAAAATATGTGGCCATACTCATGCAAGTTTTGTTTCAAGTATCGCCTGCGTGTTCAAGAAGTGTTCCACCTGGATCCTCCCACAGGTTACACCCCATCCTTTTGCTCCGCGCCCAGTTCCAATTACGGCTCGTTTGTGCCGAGAGGGGGCACCGCCTACCCTTTTTCTCTTATTAGCGATGGCCTCCCGTCGTGTTGTTGTGGTTGCCGATGCCTCTGGGCCTCTCCCCTCCGCGCCCACGCCCCACCCTTCCAGACAGGTGGTTACTCAGCTGAACGGTTGCCCCGCTGCCGCCGGTGATGCTCCATAGCCCAGCGCGCCCCGTGTGACAACGTGTCTAAATTAAGCCGGGGCCCCCGGGGGTGTGGCGGGGCGTGGCAGGGCGTGGCGGGGCGTGGCGGGGCGTGCCGGGAAGGTGAAGGGGTCGTCCCCGGGAGCCCCGGCCACGACTATTCTCCCTCGGCGGAGTAGTGGTAGGCCGGCTCTGGGCGGAGGCAGGTGCCGCGCGCGCGCGCGCTCTCGTGCGGGACGACATTGTTGGACCTTCGCACAGGCCACAGCGACACGGCGATGCTCGTCCAGTAGCTGGCCGGTCATGGGCAACTACTTGATGGGCAGGAGGTGCTGCCTCCCCCACGACGACGACGCCGGGGAGGGGGAGGGGCAGGCAGGAGGGGGTGAGCGTCATCCTCACCTACTCGCGTGACACAGTGGTGTGTGTGTATGTGGCTGTATGTATGTGTTGTGAATTCGCAAGCACGTCCCCGCCGACAGGAAAAACAATGGCATTCCGGATCCAAGACGCACGTTCTTCCGCCCGCCCTCTATCTTGTGCGTCGTCGTCGGCGTCTCGGGGCCCCGTGCGCCTCACCCACCCCCATACCACCACCCACCCACCGCCTCCCCACACGGCCCTCCAGCCCTCCACAATCACAGCCCATTTGCATGCCCAGCTGCTGACGCTGCTGTGCTGACGCACCCCCTCTCCTGGAGCGTCCCCCGTGGTGCTTGTTTTTCGCATAGGCACCCATCTCCCCCTCCCCCCTCTTCCCTTTTCGTTCTCCTCCCTCTCTCCTCTCGGCCTCCCCCCTGCTTGCTCCTCGCGACCTTGGGCCCCTGCCCTGCTCGCGCCCCTGCCTCACTCGGCGCTGAATTTGGCCGATTTCGCTGCTGTCGCGAGTACGGATATAGACTCGCGATGGGCGGCGGGCACGGCAGGAGGCGGAGCTAGATAC